TTTTTTTGAAAAAGAAATTTAAAATTTTAAATCAAATCCCCCCCCCCCCCCCCCTGCCGCCCCAAAAAAAAAAACCAGTTAGAGGAAGGGAATATAAGGAGAAAAAAAGGAATACAAAAAACAATCATGGCTTAAAAAAGCAAGAAAGTATTTACAAAAATATTAGCAAATGATGTCAGTGTTACTATTCTTAATTATTACATAAAAAATCCAAGTATGCCACATCACTACTTTATTAGGCGTCCAAAGTTTAGAACTTAGCTATGAATTTTGTTGCTTTGATCATAGATGTCCTAATATGTGAATTTCTTATTGTCGTGTTATCTTTGTCGTATTGTGAAAATAAGACTCAGACAAAAGGCCTGTGACGTATGGGCTGACCCAAAAGCCCTGTGGCCCAGCCTACACCACCACATGAAGGTTTTCCAATTATTGGGTCCAATTCAACTAGCTGACCTATTTAAGACCCATTGAGATAGCCCATCGAGAACAATAAATTTCAGTAAAAATTAAGAACCAGCAACACACTCTCATGCTTTTTTTGTTATTAGGTCCAAACCGTGTTCTTTTCACAACTAATTCAAATAATTAAGTCATTAAATCTAAATTAATTGTAAAAAACTTTTTTAATGACAAAACAACCTTTTTAAATGCGATTAGACATATGACTATGTCTTTCTCTACCGTCTCTTTGTTCTCTATCTCAACTCCAAAATCTCTCATTCGCCGGACCTTTCGATATTCTCATGAGGTGCACTGAAAATTTTCTTCAAAATAACACTTGTTAGACTTCTGGACAAAAAAGTTTCTAACATTGAATTGGCCACCAAAAATTTCTAAATTTAAAAATTATATATAATTCGGGGGCCCTATTGTGAAGAAACTAAACTTTAAAGGGAACCCAAAAAAAAAAAAACAAATTTTCCTGCAAAAATCATACAAATTTTGACTTCGCCCCTAATGCATGTCTTTGATGACAAGGCAATTTCAAATGAATGGAATTGAAAACATACTGTAATGTTCTCCCTCAATGGCAGCATGAAGAATGGTGGAGCCATCGTGTCTCCTTATCCTGCAATTGCTACTGTATATTTCCAGAATTGTGAACACTTCACTCTTTCCAAACGCAGCAGCAAGGTAAAGAGGCGTCTCGTTCAAACTGTTCCGCTCGGAAACTAAATCTGGCTTCTTCCTCACCAAGGTCTCCGTCACATCCTTCTGACCAGACATCGCAGCTTCATGCAACGCGGTGTTGCCGTTGGCATTCTTTCTCAGGAGCATTTCGTCGAGAAAGTGGTCTGCCTGAATTAGGTTTCGCAAGGCGTCCACATTCCCTTTGATGGCCAGAAGGTGGAGGACCGTGTCGCCGCGTTGGTCGATTGGTACTGCGCCTTCATCTCTCGTGAAATTACAGAAGAATTCCAAAGATTTTGCTGTATTTTCTGAGGCAAATTGGTAAGCTTTTGAGCGGGGGCGTAAATTGTTGAAAACTGTTGCCGAGCAGGAGCTTGACATTTCGAGTAAGTTTAACGACAAATATTTTGATGGTTATGTGGGGGTAAAGATGAGAAGCAATGCATCATATATATACATCTCTCTCTCTCTCTCTCTCTCTCTCTCTCTCTCAGCCAAGCCAAAAAAAGGACAAATTGCTTATGCCAATTACACTTTCACTTTTCTATGATTTACAATCTTACTCTTTATTCCTTTGGTTAGTACCTTTTAATTTTTGGTTGGTAGCTTTCACTTTTTGTTTTAAAATTCAAGTGTTTTTCTTATTGCAAATTTTATATTTCTTGAAAAAGCCTAGAAACGAAACAGGTAAGGAACATATTTGATTAATTTCAATGGGGAAAATATAATATGAATTTGGCGAATTTTTAGATTGTGGGCATGTCAATGTATAAGTGAACTTAAGATACAAACACGATAACTTTACTTATTCGAACCAACGTGAGGTTCTAATATGGTGACTATTCAGACGATTATAATGAAACGTAAGGAAATTACTGAATGGGTGGTTTAGTGAGGTATCGACCGAACTTCTCATTCTAATCTTGGAGGTTCGAGTTTTGGAGTTCACATTGGGGTTCAGTGATTAACCGTTATACTAACTTAGCTAGATTCGTTCTAGGGAGGAGTAGTGAACGTGATCAAGGGTCTCATGATCCCATCAATGGCGACTTATCGAGGTTGTATCTGGGCACTCTCTTTGTCCCCACCCTTTTTTGGCGCAACAAAAAAAAAAAAAAACATGACGTAAGAATACTTCTAAGATTTTTTTTATGCCTTAGGGATCAAGGATTTAAATAATTTTTCGTCTGACAAAGTAATGGACCGGAATAAAAACAACAAGAATGTAAAGTAGCAGATAAATTGAATTTAAAATATGAAAGAAGCACTATACTTAGTATTGAATGAAAGACAATAAAAATCTCCGGAGTGATGAACTACAGATTCCAGTAAAACGAAATTATTGGGAAATAAAAATAAGTAGGAGAGATGCCGACTCTATGTAGAGTTGTTGTGCTTAATCTAGGAGGATCATTTATCGTAGCCTTTCTTTTGTTATTTATAGTAACGACCTTCAACCGTCGAAGACATCTTTTCTGGCCATGACTATGATCATAATCTCTGTCCTCGAGATGTACAAACGTGCACTAAATCATTTCCAATTGGCAGCTCATGATATCACGTCTCCCGGCTTCTTATGATTCTTAGAGTCCCACTTCATTAACCATCCTATTACGTATGGACTCTCACATACTCTTTTATGACCATCGAATTGTTTTCACATGTCATTCTTATATTTTATTATTTTTGGGTATAAACAATATATATAGAAGTAAAAAATATTTTGAATTAGGAAAGAATAAAGCTCATATCATGTTTCATGGGTAGGATTAACGGATAAAGAAGGAGCATATTATATTTGGAAAGTGATTCTTCTGAAAACCATACATCTCTCATTGTAAAGTACATTTGGTGTTTACGTATATAGTAAGTTGGAGGAACAAAGGAATAAAGCTCATATCCATTCTACAAGAAAAGAATTTAGTGAACTAAGAAGGAATAAAGTAATGTCTTTTGAGTATCTTCATGAACAAATATTTTCCTTTTGGGTTTTGTGGCCAAACAAGACTACTTTTTAATTCTGAAGTTTGTGTTAAATTCAATAATTAAATTGTAATTTTAATTTGACATTCATTATAATTTTTTTTCTTAATCAATTGTCTATAAACACTGTTTTTTTTTTTTTTGAANTCAAGGATTTAAATAATTTTTCGTCTGACAAAGTAATGGACCGGAATAAAAACAACAAGAATGTAAAGTAGCAGATAAATTGAATTTAAAATATGAAAGAAGCACTATACTTAGTATTGAATGAAAGACAATAAAAATCTCCGGAGTGATGAACTACAGATTCCAGTAAAACGAAATTATTGGGAAATAAAAATAAGTAGGAGAGATGCCGACTCTATGTAGAGTTGTTGTGCTTAATCTAGGAGGATCATTTATCGTAGCCTTTCTTTTGTTATTTATAGTAACGACCTTCAACCGTCGAAGACATCTTTTCTGGCCATGACTATGATCATAATCTCTGTCCTCGAGATGTACAAACGTGCACTAAATCATTTCCAATTGGCAGCTCATGATATCACGTCTCCCGGCTTCTTATGATTCTTAGAGTCCCACTTCATTAACCATCCTATTACGTATGGACTCTCACATACTCTTTTATGACCATCGAATTGTTTTCACATGTCATTCTTATATTTTATTATTTTTGGGTATAAACAATATATATAGAAGTAAAAAATATTTTGAATTAGGAAAGAATAAAGCTCATATCATGTTTCATGGGTAGGATTAACGGATAAAGAAGGAGCATATTATATTTGGAAAGTGATTCTTCTGAAAACCATACATCTCTCATTGTAAAGTACATTTGGTGTTTACGTATATAGTAAGTTGGAGGAACAAAGGAATAAAGCTCATATCCATTCTACAAGAAAAGAATTTAGTGAACTAAGAAGGAATAAAGTAATGTCTTTTGAGTATCTTCATGAACAAATATTTTCCTTTTGGGTTTTGTGGCCAAACAAGACTACTTTTTAATTCTGAAGTTTGTGTTAAATTCAATAATTAAATTGTAATTTTAATTTGACATTCATTATAATTTTTTTTCTTAATCAATTGTCTATAAACACTGTTTTTTTTTTTTTTGAATTCTTGATTGGCAGAATCTCGAGAATATGAAGGATGACCAATTTGGTTATCAATTAAAACCATATCACTTAGATTAGTGTAGACGAGACCAAGTATCGGTCTATGAATATGCCTATAGGCCACGGTGCTTATGGTTAAGAATAGAGCTAAGATTTTATGGTGAGGGGGTCAAGTAGTTGCACAATCAAGAATCTTATTCAATAGGATCATCATCAATTATCATTAATTCTCAAATTTTTAGTTATTTAGATCTTGTGAGAATTAACTTTGCTAAAATTAATTTGAATCATTAAATCAAAAAAATGATTTTTTTACTTTCCATAGTAATAGTTAATTTATAACAATATTGGCATTCACTATTCTCTCAATGATTACATGATGTAATAACTACAAATGAATTACCATTAGAATTTTTAGTATGATATGAAAAAAAATAATCGTGAGTTAGTGTATTGCTGATGATATAATTTATGTTTATAACCCGATCATGCAACAATATTTTTTCTTTTGGGAATCAATCATGTTTTTTTCATCTATAAGGGCAATTCTCATCTTTAAGACTGGGTCTCTCTCTCATTTGGTTATTAAATGTATGCCCATTAAGTTTTTTTTTTAATATATTACAAGAAGTACAATATGTGGGAAAAGATTCAAAGGGGTATAGGATTTTTCAAGGGGAGACATAAGATTTTTTAAAAAATTAGAGGGGGTATATGATAATTTGAAAATTTGAGGGGTATGGGCAACCTTGGCCACAAGGTCCCCCCCACCCCACCCCACCCCAAGGATTATGGAATGGTCTGGTATTTGATATTTTTTTCCTTTAATTTCGAATAATTTGATAGGGTTACGTTTTTTGTAAGGAATTGATATTCAATTTTCTCAATCACATTTTTTATACAAAACTCAAATGTTGAATTTGGAGACGAATGAAATGGCTGCGATCAAGCAGATAACCAATTGCTTTTGATAACTGAATGGATGCCATGCGAACGCTTCGGGAGATCAAGCTTCTTGGCCATTTGGATCTCCAAAATAAAAGTCTAACAATCATGTTACTGTTGTGTAACATCCTAACAAAGCTGTTATTCATTTTTCATTCTCTTGAATACAAAGATACAATAAAAATGTAAATAATCAAAATGTCAAGACCATTGTGTCTATAATTACAACGGCCGACACTGCCGCTTTCTCTGTAGTGTTGTCGTACAGTTTTTCACTTAGAAAAATCACTCAATTTATAGGACTATCACAGAAGATAAGTACATTGTTCGCGTGTTGGCCGAGTGAATCAAAGTTATCCTTCCATCAACTATCCACACAGTCAAGTGCAAAAAATACAATATAATCATGCAATGAACATTGTTGGTTTATTTCATGTTCGCAAGGAAAGAAAGAAGAGCGATAAGTGGTGTGCCAGGCCCAAGGCCCAACTCCAATTATAAACCTGGTTTGAATTAAGAGTTTAATTAGACAAGATTCAATGGCTCTAGCCCAAAAGAGGTCTACGCCTAGTCAAACTCATTAGGGTTCGAAGAGCTGCATCACTAAAGGAGTAGGCAGGGTCATCCCAAGAGTCTCATCCAAGTCACCTTAGAGTAAGCGTCATCCCAAGAGCCTCATCTAAGCCACCTTGGAGTAAATGTCATTGCAAGAGCCTCATTCAAACCACCTTAGAGTAAGGAGCGAAGAAGTCAACCACACCATCCTAAGACCCGGTCTAGAGGAGAGTTCCGCAACTACCTCACCCGTTGCAAAATGACGCCACCTTCACTAAATTAGCCTTTTAGTTATTAATAAATTGTCTCAATCTATTAAGAGACGACTATAAATTGTAAGTTCCACCAATACTTGGAGAGACATCAGGCACATCTGCTATCACTCTCATTGTTCTCTCATAGCATGTATCTCCCTGCTCTCCCTACACTCATTGACGTAATAAAATACCCAGGTCACCCAAGCCCTTCATAGTAGTCGCATGTCACGTTGACTTAACCACTCTATATTTTATCTTGCTTAAGTTACTATCTCTCTACTTAATTACTGCATTAATTATCAGTTACTTGACAGGTGATGTACAAAATCAATTTGTGTATCATTAGTTTGACGCCGTCTGTGAGAATCGACAAAATTCTCACCTAATCACTTTTCTTGTTATACCTAGCGATCACCACCAGATCCATAAATCATCTCAATGACAATCCACCACGAGAGAAGGAGGTTGCCCCTCCACCAACCAATCTTGTACTGAACGCATAACAGATGTTAGAAATAATGCAGTAGCTCATGACTCAAAATTAACTGAACCTGCAACTAATGCTCACAGGATAACAAGGAGAATCACAGTCCAAAGGGCATCAAGCCAGAGGAGCTCTAACCCTTGAGTGTGAAGGAGTTCCCCACTTGGGCGCCCCATATAAGGGAGCCCCTCGTCAGAACCATGAGAGAACTCCACCTCCTCCTCCACCTCCCTCTTCCCATGGTGGAGACCCTCATTTCCAAGAGGATGAGGGCAAGAATCAAAGTATGTAACATGGGAGCTATTTCCATGAAAATTCCAAATAAGCCCCAAATCATTGGGACGAAAAAATCAAAAAAGTACAGAATTAACTAGACGACGTCTTCAATGCCATGAAGGCACAAGGACAAACAATTGTGGAGTACCCCGTAAGGCAAACTGACACACCTTTTGTACCAGATGTGGCAAACTACCCTGTTCCCCTAAAGTTCAAAATATCACTCATTGAAACCTTTGACTGCACAAAAAACCCATTTAATCACCTTGAAACTTACAAGTCATTGACATAGTTGCACAATGTTCCTGACTAAATCATATGTAGGGCTTTCCCGACTACCTTGAAAGAATTTGCCCAACAGTGGTTCGCCAAACTCATCCTAACCTCAATAGGCTCCTTCGCCGAACTAAGCAGATCTTTTGTGGCACAATTCATTGGTGGACGCCGCAGCAGAAGCCTGCTACCCATCTGCTCAGCGGAAAATAAGATTGAGATGAGATTCTAATGAGTTATCTCACTCGTTTTAAGGAGGAAGTCCTCAAAATCGAGGAGTCCAATGACAAAGTCACCATGACCGCCTTTTTGGGAGGTCTTTACTCATCGAGTTTCCTTTTTTGTAGTAATGAAGCGACCACCAAAGGGCATGCCAAAATTATTAGCAAAAGTTTAAAAATATATGAATGCTGAGAAAATCAACAGGTCCAGGCAAGGTGAATCATCTCGAGAGTCACCAAAATCTTGACCTATCTCTGCAGTGCTCTCAAGCAGACAACTTATGTCTCCAGTTAGGGGCTCTCTCTCTCATGCTCGCCAAAAGCTCGGTCTCAAGAGTCGTAGCTCTCTCACGAGCAACCTCAAACTCTATCTTTGCTCTCACACAAGCAGACTCTATTTCCCTACAGGCAGATGTGTCTGCCCCTCTCTCCAGGTAATCATGTTGGATATTTTGATGTTCGAGTAACATTGTTTTTGTCATCTCTAGGCACGCTCTTGAAACTTAGGTCATCTGCAACCCAAGGGACTACATTAGATTGAATGTCAACAATCGGGTCTCATCTTTTTTGCGACCATCCGGCACCGCCGCCTCGTTGCTGCAGCTCTCCCACACTTAACACCTAGTGTAAACAAGGCATGCATTCTCCCAACACTAAGGATTTGGCACTTGCTCCTGGCACCCAGTTCCTAGCGCCCCCCTTTGTGGTGCCTAACTCCCGACGTCCCTTCCTTCTGCACCTGCACAGCCTCGTGCCCAGTGCCTGACAATGTCGTTGTGTGTTCCCCTAGCCGAGCCCAGCCCACGGTGATGTCCTCTGCATGATCAGCACGCCCACCAGCCGACGCCCACAACTCCTCGCCTTCAGCATCCTGGGTCGCCTCGCTCATGGCGTCTTCGCCCATCCTCGAGGCCTAGTCATGCCTTTGGTGCCTCACCACCAGAGCCCACTTGTACCCCCTCAATGTCCTTGATGCCCATGGAGCACCCAAGCTCGTCAACACCTATTGCCTCACCGACCGCAACATGTACGGCAAATTTGACACCAATTGCTCCATCGTTGCTTACCTCCTTTTTGATGACAATGACTTCTTACATCTCCCCTCCTTCATCTGACAACGGTCTCCGGTCACCTAGCACATAGGTAACCTCCCTGGCCTCAATCAACTTGCTACCACTCATGGTCATGAACCATATCAAGAAGAAAAAAGAGTCATCAATCAAAAGGATTCTCAATCAGCCATAATTCAAATTCAACCAAATGCCCTATTCTCCAAGTTTCATTGGACACAGGCCATTGGGGGACAAATAATGTGTCAATCCTAAGTGTCCAACTCAAGTTATAAGTCCAGTTTGAATTAAGAGTCTAACAAGACAATATCCAATAGGTTCAACCTAAAAGAGGTCCACGTCTAGTCAAGCTTATCAGGGTTCGAGGAACTACATCAGTAAGGGAGTAGGCAGGGTCATTCCAAGAGCCTCATCCAAACCATCTTGGAGTAAACGTCATCCCAAGAGTCTCATCCAAGCTACCTTGGAGTAAGTGTCATCCCAAGAGTCTCATCCAAGCTATCTTGGAGCAAGCGTCATCCCAAGAGCCTTATCGAAGCCACCTTGGAGTAAGGAACGAAGAAGTCAATCACGTCATCTTAAGACCCAATCTTGAGAAGAGCTCCACAATTGTCTCATCCGTTGCAAAAATAAAGCCACATCCACCAAAATAGTCTTTTAGTTATTGATAAACTACTTCAATCTATTAGGAGATGACTATAAATTGTAAGCTCCGTGAATTCTTGGGGGGCATCGAGCATATTTGCTATCACTTTCATCTCTCTCTCATAGCTTGTATCTCCCTGCGCTCCCTACACTCCTTGAAATAATAAAATTTCTAAGTCACCATAGGCCTTTATAGTGAACGTAGGTCACGTTGACTGAACCACTCTACATATTTATCTTGCTTAAGTTACTATCTCTCTTCTTAATTACTGCATTAATTATCAGTCACTTGACAGGTGATGTACAAAATCAATTTATGTATCATCAATAAGATTTAGTTTTGATTTCACTATTTACAGCCTAAGAGAGTACAAAGTCAAAAAGTTGCCCAAAAAATTTCCCAACTAGCCCTCAAAGAGGAGGAATAAGCAATGCTGCTAAGATCCCCAATCGATTTAGCTCTTTTTTGCCAACTGGGTTGGTCTAACCAAAGAAGGCATGTGAGTATTTGGGCATTACTTGGGCTAAGTCAAGCTTAAGCCGAGTTAAGTAAAAAGGACAGGATTCCATCGAATGAAAAGTCTTCTTACGCCTTATTAGCGAGAGTTTTTACTTTTTCTCATGGTTGGATTGGATTTTAAACTCAATCTCATCCAACCATGCAAAGTTGGTCAACTGGTACTATGTCTGATGCACGTTATCTCATTTGATCATTCATTTGAATAGAATACATGTGAACTATAGGCCCCATGCACATGTTCAAATTAATGAAGAATGAAATGGCCATTGCCCCTTTTATAAAAAAAATGTAATCTAATCCTATATCATGTTTGGATTGCTAGGACGACTAAGATTGGTTTGGATGAGTTGTTTGCAATTATTATAATAATTGGTAAGGGAAAAAATTCCATAATTTAATAGTGAAGCCCATAAAGAAAATTGCACTTATTTAAATAAGTAAATTTTGATTTAGTATTATATTAAAATGATTATAATAATTTAATATAGTTTTTCCCTTTTTTTTTTTTACAGCACAAGGTTGATCAATTGTTTTTCGTTTTTTTATTTTTATTACAACACAAAATCGATGAAAAATATACTCGATCTTCCCATGTTAAGTACAAACCTAAAACAAAATTGTGATCACAAAATCCTAGTTGGAAAAAATGAATATAGTCAAGAAAAAGCGGTCGTCGCATGAACAAGGAGAGGCGTCAGAGAAACGGGGGAGAGAGACAAAGATGGAGAAACAACAAACAAAAAAATGGTGGCTGGGAAGTCACCACCGACGGAGAAAGGGAGTGACGTCAGGGAGAGAAAGAGGGAGAGAGAGACAAACAACCAAATAATAAAAATTAATCAGTTAAAAAAAATTGTGGCCATCACAAGACCAAGAGCTAGACGTTGGACATATATATACAGAAACAGGGAGAGAGAGAAAAAGAGAGGGGGAGATAGCAAACCTAGGTGAGTGGTGGCGAGCAACTATTGCTGGCAGTGAAGTAAGGAAGAGATGAAAAAAGAGTTTTTGGAGTGTGCGTACATTATTTTAGATTTATTTGAAATGAAGTGTATGAATAAATATTTTGTTTTATTAAGTTTAATTTTAATAAAATATGTTGTAATTAGGTATAAAATTCAAATGACATTTGAATTTTTTTACTTACTTACCCTTCTTTAAATTATACATAATTTTTATTTTCACCATCTCTTTCCCTATGTTCTCTTCATCTCTCTCTATTACTCTTTCATTATTTCTCCTCTATTTTCTATCCACTCTCTCTGTTACTCTTCCTATCTCTCCCTTATTCTCTCTCTCTAGCTCCCATTGATAATTTATTTTTTTTTCAAATATGTAAAAATTTGATTTAATTTTTTTATCTCTCTCCTCGATTTTCTCTCACACTTTCTTCCTCTTATTTTCTTTCACTGTTACTCTCTCTCCCTATTTTTTTCACTTTCTCTTTCTCTTTCTTTATATCAACATTACACCAACACAATTATACTAATCAATTACACCAATCAATTACAATTGTCTATAATATACTAAACAGTTACTCATGTATTTTAATAAACTAAACTATTTTACCAAATAATTATACAAAATTATGACACCAACCAAATTTTTCATTCAGTTGTTTACATAAACCAAAAAGTTGCATCATTTAGTATCACGACATAATTACACTAATTATATACAAAAAAATTAGTATAATGGGAAAGTCTTTTGTATAATGATAAAAATAATTTGATATATATAATTGTTGTAACCATGTCGTGATACTAAATGATGTAACACTTTGATTTATGTAAATAACTGAATGACAAATTGAGTTGATGTTATAATTTCGTGTAATTATTTAGTGTAACTGTTCGGTTTATTAGAACACATGAGTAACTATTTGGTGTATTCTAGGGTAATTGTAACTACTTGTATAATTGATTAGTACAATTGTGTTATTGTAACGTTGATATTAGAAGAGAAAAAGTAATGGCGAAAGAAAATAGAGGGAGAGAGAATGAGAGAGAAAAATAAAAAATTAAATTAAATCTTTACATATTTAAAAAAAATAAATTATCAATGTGTGAGAGAGAGATAGATAGAGAGAAAAAATAGAATAGAGAGTGAGAGAGTAATTGAGTAATAAATGATTTTTTAGTCTTTTTTCAAAAAATACATTTAGAACCAAATAAGTTTCCTTAATGTAGTTTAGCTCAATTAAATCTAGATTTTTGTTTCGGCTTTTAAATTACCCATGAAAAAAGGAAAGTTTAGCCCAACGTTTATCCCATCAACATTTTTGAATCCACAACTGAGATATGTGGGCCCCAAACTTTTTTAACCCAATCCCACTGTTCTATCCACCTTTATCCATCAAAACAAACATCTCTCAAGAATATAGCCTTGGGATTGTTTGGATGATTTTTTAGTAAGGGTGCAACTCGAGCGAGTTGGACGGGTTGAAGGGTCAACCCTAACCCAATCATACATATATAATCTTTAACCCGAGCCCAACTTCAACTCGAGGTACTCAACACGTACTGCTCAAGTTGAATTCAGGCGGGTTCAAGTTGAATTTGGATTACAATTCAGATAAAAAAATTATACAACTCAATTAGAACACAACACAGAAATTAAACCAAAAAGTCGAAAATATCATAGCCACCGCCACTACCACCACAACCACTACTCATAGCCGCTGTCACTGCCACTATCACCACAACTACTGCACATAGCCACTGCCACTGCCAGTACCACCACAACCACTACCCATCATAGTTTCTCACACAACCACCACATTATAATTGTTTCCCACATAGCCACCACAACACAGCCACCAAATTTGACCATCGTTGTGGTCTTCGGTGCCATAGCTACTAGATCTCCACCAAATTTGAGATGCAAAAGTCACTAGATCTAACCATTGTTGTGGTCTTCAGCACATAGAGGGCGTGAGAGGGAGGTTGAGAGAGGTTGAGGGAGCTAGAGAGGTAGAGAACGACAAAATCAGAAAGTGGCGCGATGTAGAGAGGAAAAATGAAAAACCTTAGTGTTAATGCTTTATACATATATATATAATTTTTTTTTAATTTGTCGAGTTTGGGTTGAACCCAAAAATCCGAGACATCAAGCCAAGGACTACCCGAATTCAATTCGAGTTAGAATTTTTTAGCCCAAACCTAACCCAAGTATTAAAAATTTTAACCCAAGTCTTATTTTTTTTAAGTTGGGCTCGGGTTGAATTTGGGTTGGCTCGCCTAAGTTGCACTCCTAATTTTTGGGGAGAGTTTGGATTGTCATTTACAAACCTTTCCAAACTCAAACTTTTCTTTATAAATATGAGATTCAACATTAAATTCTATCCATACACCCATGTTTAGTATGTAACACATATACATGTAGGACTCACAGATATATCATAATTATTAAGAACTATTTGATCTATAAATGACCATTTTACCCTTGATCAATCCAATTCATATCCATGTTAAGGGATACAATTGTCTTTCGTATCTTTAACCCATCTCCTCAAATCCACCCCTTAGATTTGACGAAACTCATGATCATGGGTTTAATATTCAGATCAGCTACAGGTCGGATTTAAAAACCTAAAATTGAATTTTCAATCCAAACATGAAGTTTTAGGGTCCTTCGGACTATTTTTCTCAAATCTATCTTGCCAAACCCTTCCATACCCTTTTACCTAACAACCTCTAGACTATTTGGATGATTTTTTAGGAGGGGTTTGAATTGGGTTCTCCAAATCCAAACCTTTCTTATAAACATGGGATTCAACATTCAATCTCATCCATACCCCATGTTTGGTATACCTACGGATATATAACTATTATGATAAATATATTTGTATGTAAATAACTATTTTACCCCTTCATCAATCTAATCTAAACTCATGTTTATATACATATATTTTTTTGTGTCATTATGGTTTTCATATTTGATTTTTTTTATTTTTAATTTATGAAAAAAAAAAACATTAATATTGAAAAAATATAATTATTATTCAAAACCATAATAAAACGCAATAAAACAATAACCATAGTAGACATTGTAACATTTGGATAGGATTTTGGGGATATAATTGTCTTTTTATAGTTAAAACTCATTAACCCTTGTACAAAACCCACTCTCACATCGGTTTGATAAAACCCATAATCTAGGATTTAGGTTCAGGCCTTGTAGCGAGCTGGGCTTGGCTTGGTAACCCAGCCTTTAAAGGTTTTCCCAAACATGAGTTTTGTGTATGGTTTGGACAATTTATCAAGAACTACTCAAATTATTATTTTTTTCTATGGTTACCATTCGTAATTTAGATGTTATTTACTTGAAGGACCACGTAGTAACATATTAATATTTGAAGAATAAAAATGATGCAATTGAAATATTAAGGATTAAAATAAAATAAACTCATATTTTGAAGACCTCTAATACAATTAGCCCAAAATTCAAATACGTTTAACTAGGGCCAAATTTAACATTTTTGCCTCGGGCCCTACTTGTGTGTCGGACCTCCCCTAGAGGGGATAGACTGTTTTCCTGCTCCTAACCCTTTTGAGTCCAGATCAAAATAAAACAACATTTTGGTTAGGCCAAGAGCCACCGCCCTCTTCCAAATCTAACATTATCCTGAAAAATATTCTATGATGCTTTTATTGCCTGGCCCGCTGATAAGTTAGAAATCACACCACACTTTAGCTTTTAATTTTTTAAACACTTGCTCTGTCACCTGCCTTATTGCTGTATCGATATGTATGTATCATTCTTTTATGTTTCCTACAAGGTATTCAAGCTTATGTTGGTTACTCCTTCAAATTTTGAACTAATCACCGTAACTTGAGTTAGTTTAAAGACATGTTTCTTGAAGAATAAAATTGATTGACCCTTAAAAGACGTAAAGAAATATCGAATTTGAAACTTTCTACTTGCAAAATGACAGATTTGAGCACTGAACTATTACATCGTCCAATGGACTGAAGTTTGTAAGGTCTCAAAATGTTTAAAAAATGGGATTGTAACTAGACAGAGAGAAAGAGTGAGATTTAAGGAGCAACCAAGTGATCATCAAAACAACCTCCCATCCAATATGTATATATGGCCACCCTTTACATGACTGTCTTGAAACGCACAAGAAAAGCACAACCTTTCTAGCTTCATCAGACACCTTGAACCCTTTGATGCGAGTAAATATTCAATACAATAGTGATACCATCATTATTGATTCAGATATTACTATCCAATATTCTTACTTTTTGAAATCGTCTTTATATTCCCGTCGTTCAAGGCTAACCCGAGTGATAAGACCATTAAAATGCTTGCTTAGGGCCCCTAATTGTTAGCGTCTCAAAAATATTTTTAAGACCCGAGTTTAAGTTATTTGCTGATAAATGTTGTATTTTATGCTTATAGTTTACTGATGGAACATTATATAAACTTAATTCTCTTATGTATTGATCAGGCTTTCTGATCATTTTACTAGTATCAAACCGATTTAAATTAAGATAGTATTAGGATTGTGTTAACGGAATTCTAGAACCTAATTCGAATTAGTGAATTTGGGTAGAGTCTGAATTTCAGTTTTCGTTGTGCAATATAAAAATCAAATTAATTTGAACCCAAAATTTTAATTTAAAAATCAGATTAATAAAATATTTTAAATATTGACAATATTTATATGAAGAGAGTCGAGCCAAATTAAAATTAAAAAATTTTGTAATTTTATTGAACCCGAGTTGATCTCGTCGTACCCGTGACACATACCAAGTTCCATCCCCGGTCAAAGAACGCATTATGCTGCAATTTCTCTGATATCTTAACAAAGGGGTTTACGACTACCACCAACTGGAACCAAATGTATTAAGCTGGTCAAAGTACAAGACCAAGAACCGATAAGAAAGAAAGAAAAAAAAATGGTCAAAAGTACGTACTACGTGCACATGGAAAATTATAGATAGATGAACAAAAACAATTCTACTAAAAAAATTTGGTATCATATTTTTAAAGATTATTAATTTTGTGTGTATTTTTATAATTTTTGTGGATAATTTATTATTTTTATGAGTATTTTTACTATTATTGTATTAATTATTTTTATTATTTTTATAAATATTTTTATCATTTTTTTTTGATACCACAACAGTAATAAAAACAATCATAATAATAATAAAAATACTCATAAAAATAATAAATATCGGTATGATATCGATTTTTTTTTTCGAGTACAGTAGACAACTCCATCCAAGGATGGGTAATGTCCATATATTGTAATGAATGACTTTTATTTTCTGATAAATATGAGTAGGACCAATTTAATGATATCACCTCACTCATGTAGGGCCTCGCCTTGCCTTCGAGTTAGAGGATAAGTTCCCATGGTATTGTGTGGGTTTAGGGGTAGTATTGATCGAAAAATTAAGATCAAATGGTACCCTAAATCACTAAACTGACAATATTGGTAATTTCCATTATTTTTAAATGTGATATTTTATTTCAATAGATGACAACGGTACAAAAAGATAGAGCGTACCAAAAATTTCAATGTTTTAAGATTAAATTAGATACTTTAAGGGTTTAAATTCAATTCAAAAGGCTATGATTGATCATAAATTGTTGTAATAGATTATGAAAAATATAATTTTTAAAAATAAAATTATACTTTTTAAAAAATGAAGTTACAATTGACGTATAATTCATGATGAATCACAATATTTTATGATTGATCATAAATAATTGTAATATAATCAATCATAAATAGTTATAACTTGTACATCACAAAATATAACTTTTTGAATTATGCCACGTGGATAAACTATCACGTGGGAAAAGAAGCCACGTGGGGTTTTGACTCTGCCAAAATCGAATCGAACTGTTTCAGATCGGTAGTATGACTGAGCAAGAGGATCTCGCCACATGGTGATAAGAACCGAATAGCACAATAACTGCCTAAGATGAAGGGATTTAGCTGTACCAGCTAGGTGAATTCAACAATTCTTAAGCTGAGATCAAGGGAGCGTTAGAGAGATTTTGGAAAGAGCCAACAAACAATCACACTTGAAAGAAGAATCACTAAAGTCTATACAAGCCAGCAAGGATGTTTGGTGTAAGGTATGTTCAATCCTTCCATAACACAATTCTTTTTTATCTACACTTACTGACTTAAGTATTGAAGTGTTTTCGATCGAAACACCTTCGATGTGGGACAGATTGGTTGTTTTGCAGGAAACTTTACTTGGGGAAGGACATTACTGTTCACAGAGAATAAGAGGAAATTTATCTGCTTCGGAACCTAGACAAATCGAAGTCTCCAATCATAACATGACACAAGCAAAAAAATAATAATAAAGGAAGAAAAATGGCTTATCAAAACAAAGGAAGATATCTTTCATAGATGCTCAAAAAAAAAGTGTCTTTTTACATGGACTTTCAGGGAGAAGTAGGAGGACCAGAAGAACAAGGCGCAGAATGAACAAGGAATTTGCAAAGCAAGGTCCTTCTCTACTTTCGTCATCCCTTGATCAAAAGCAACATCTTCAAGGTCCTTCACCTTAGCTTTGAACTTGTCAAAATCTTCTAGCAAAGTGGAATTTTCAAGTTGAGTCTGGGATAAATCTATGCTGAGGGAACTCTCTAAAGCTTTCAGCTCCTCCACTTCTTTTGCCAGCATTTTGTTCTCATCTTTCAAGCTAAGTGATTGAGCCTGAAGGAGCAAAATTTCTTCGCAAAGCTTGGCGTATTTTTCATCAACAGATTCTTTCTTGATCAAGGCAGACATACGATAATGGATCGCCTCTTTCATGGCTTTGTCCTTTCTAGAAATCTTGGCCACTACTTCATACACCTTTTGAAGACCTTTTTTTGAAGAGGAAAGAGAGAATATAAGTATGCAGTTTAAGTCTAAAAGGAAAAAAAGAATCGAGATAAATATCAGAATCATCTGCTGGATGGCTTGTCGAGCAATCTCATCATTCAAGGCCGCCTCATTTCACATCAAGATCATGAAACAAAATTACACCCGAATGCTTATTTCCTTGCCTTTTGCCTTCAGAATAGGGCGGAAAGCAAGAATTGATCGTTCAAGAGTAGAAGGAGACTCCATTCGCCTCTTCTTAGTCAAATGCTCCTTGGGCTCAGCATCAGCTGGCCAAGGTGGTGAAGCAATAACCAGAGGAGCAGCAGGAATTCATCTACAGCGAGCTCGGGAGGAGGAACCAAAGCCTCGAAGTCGGCTTGTGGATCTGCAGAAACAAGGGCATGATCAAGAAGGAGTGTTAGATCAATTGCTGGGGTAGGTAAGGAAGATGTTTCATCAGGAACATGCAGTGTCGAAGGATTGGCTTCGCAAGGCTCACTAGCAGAAAGGAAACTAAGAAAATTATTTATTGGTCTATTTTTTCTAGAGGGAATGATAGTCTTTTGTCAAGAACGAGGGATGGCAACACGTTGGGCTTGTAGCTCAGCTCTGTCCTCGTCGAGCATGGCATTGGCCTGAACGATGAATGAATGATACGTAGGGGTATACCCTAGCAAGACATGAGCAGCTCAGCAAAATAGGCTCTCGTTGAAAGACCACACCTTCTTCAAGTCATCCATCTTCACCGAGCTCTCAGTTATTTTTCCCTTAACAGTCTCCCCTGAATGCAAAAGCAAAATAATAAAAGGTGTATACCACGCACTAGGTAAAAAAAAGAGACTAAGCAGGACAAATGATCATATACCTGACATGCCTTCTTCATATGAGCATCGATAAGAAGGTGTATCTCCTACCTTGCATTCCCAATTCCTAGAAACAAAAATGATATTACTCTCATGACCTTTGTTCTAATTTGGGAGATGGGTTACCAGGTATCGATATTTCCTTCTTACAGCCAGATAGTAGATGTCACCAACAGCCTTCAAAATATAGCAAAAGATGATTTCCCAAAGGCCCAAGTTTAAATTCAACAGGTTGTTCAAAACAGCAACACCCATAACTATCCTGAAAAACTTAGGGCAATATTGGATAGGGCATAGCTTCATGGCAAAAAACACCCACAGCAACAGGGGGTGTAATGGAAATCTCACCCCGCCTTCCGTAATGGCCCTCATATAAATGAGAATCGATTCCCTCATACCAACCAGTGGTTCGTCATCACCAACTACGCAAATCTAGACATCCTTAGAAATACTATACTTGCTCTTAAAAGCTGGGACACCGTTTTTCGTAAAGGGACCATTTGGAAGAAGAATAACTGGAGAAGGAGAATAGGCAAAACAAAAAGACAGATGGAGAAGAAGAGCAGAGTACAAAGAAAAGAAAAATAAGTCACCTTATACTACATGAAAGAGGAAACCAAAGGACAAACATTTAATAAAAACAGACAATTGCGTGTCTCAAGAACTCAGGCAATGATGAACCTTAGGTATGAAACAATTGTCAGATGAATGACGACTGACATGCCTTTCCTGAGGGCAAATGAAGGGGTATAAAATTATGCCACGTGAGAAAAAAAGCCACGTGGGGTTTTGGCTCTACCAAAACCGAACCGAACTGAATTGTTTCAAATCGGTAGTATGACTGAGTAAGAGGATCTTGCCACATGGTGATAAGAACCGAACAACGCAATAACTGCTTAAGATTAAGAGATTTAGATGTATTAGCTAGGTGAATTCAACAGCTAATAAGCTGAAATCAAGGGAACGTTGGAGAGATTTTGGGAAAAGCCAACAGACAATACTGCTGGAAAGGGGATGTGCCATCTTCTTCCCTTGAAAGGAGAATCACTAAAGTCTATATAAGCTAGCAAGGATGCTCGGTGCAAGGTATGTTCAATCCTTCCATAATGCAATTCTTTTTTATTTACACCTACTGAACTAAGTATTAGAATACCTTCAATTAAAGTACTTCGATGTTAGATAATTTATTCGTTTTGCTGGAACCTTTACTCGGTAAAAGACATTACCGTTTGAGAACGGTGATAGGAAATTTTTCCCCATGCACTTTTCTTGATACAGTCCTGAAAAACGACTTAGGATATAAAATTTAAAAGGAAATGAAGAGTTGGCGATCAACTTTGCAATTTGCGTACAGGGTCATTACCTATTGCCGATTAGTAGTTACATGATCTCATCAAATAAATGAAATCTTGGACCCCGACCCTGACTCCGACCTAGGCCTCGATTTGAATCCCAAACTGACTTGATTTGACCCTGACCCCGTTCTATTAGTGTGTATGTTTTGTTATATTTAGTGTTAATGAGTTTTAATTCAACCCGTTATAATTCAATGTAACCTATTTATTAAGCGAGTTACAAAACAAATTGAATTTATTTTTGGGTTAATTTCAACTGACATCCAAAGATAACTCAAATTTTAATTTGTACTCTTAATATTTAAAATATCGATTTTCACCCTGAAAGATATAAATTCTTATCAATGTGCACCTGTGACTAACTTTATTCATTTTTCCTTTAGAAAAAATTGGGTTAATTATAAACTATACCCTCCAAGTTTAAATATTTCATGTGCATGATTTAAAAATAATTTCACCAATTAATGCTAGTTAAATAATTCTCAATTGTATAATATCATAACATATTCGTGTTATGTTCGAATCAATAAAAAAATATTTTTTAAAATTTTAAAAAAATATAAAATACTTATTTTTTGCCTACAATACTCATTAAATAACTATTTTATGTCTACAGTTAGACACACATTTTTTGATTGTCTGATCAAATTAAAGTTACATCCGAATAACACAACTGTAGACAAAAAAAAATTATTTAACAAGTATTATAGACAAACAATTGGTATTTTTTAATTTTTAAAAAATATTAAATATTATTTTATGAATTGTCGTAAATGTGAAATACAAGACACAACGCAATTGACTCGACACGAAAATATTTTTTGTTAAAAATATTTTTTTTATTGACTCAAACACGACACAAAAATGTTATGATACAATTCAATTGAAAACTATTTAATGAGCATTAATTGATAGAATTCTTTTTCGATCATAAATGTAAAATATTTAAATTTTGAGAGATATAATTTATAATTAATCCAAACTTTTTTAAATGGTAAAATAGATGGCAGTTAGTGTCAGGTGTACATTAATACGTATTTATATCTTTTAGGATATAAATTAATATTTATAAACTTTAAAAATTTAAATTTAAATTTAAATGATCTTTCAAGGTATAAATTAAAATTAATCCTTTTAAGACTAATTCAATCCGTGCATTTATCGCATCTAATTATGTCTAATAATTTTTTTTATTTTTTTTAGAATAATGCTATATGAACTTAAAAATTAGACTTGATAATCTTAACTATTAAATAAGTAGTGGATCTCAATAAATACTTAAATCTACAATCAATTATTAAAATTATTAAATTTATTTTTTAAATTTATTTTTTAAATTCACGTACCATTACTCTTTTGTTTTTTAATGTAATATGTCAAATTGAATTGAGTAATGATAAAGAAAACTTATCCGAAAAGCAGGGGAAGAAGAAGACCGTTGACAAATTGAATGTCATGAAATAAATGAGAGTGTTGATTAGAGGCGGCTGGAATATTTAACTCGTATTCTCCTCCAAACACGCCATGCCGCTTCTTCGCATGTCTTTCCTTTCTCTGACTCGGCAGCTACGCCCATCACTCTGTCTCTTATGAAGTCTCCTATAAACTCTCCTTCAACCTCTTCCTCTTTCCCTCAAACCCATCTCACAGAAGTCACTCAAAGACTAGTTCTAGAGAGAGAGAGTTCTTACCTAGTGAGGGTCGTTGTTCTGTTTGATACGTACCCAGTAGTCTGCTTTCTCAGCGTGTAGAAACAGTTGAGAGAGAGAGAGATCTTATATAGTTTGGGTGATTGTTCTGTTTGATACCCAATAATCGGGTGTGCTTTCTCAGAGTATAGAAACAGTTCATAATTAAGTTTATAGAGGTGATGGCTGACGTCAGGAGTGCCGGCGGTCAGTTCCCGGATTTTCCGGTGGTTCCGACACACGGAGGTCAGTTCATTCAGTACGACATTTTCGGGAACTATTTCGAGATCACGACCAAGTATCGGCCTCCGATCATGCCTATTGGTCGCGGTGCTTATGGAATCGTCTGGTATGTGGTGTTTTGTTGCTTTAATTTCAAATAATTTGATAGGGTTTAGACTCTTTTTGTATTGATTGAATCGTCTTTTTTCATATGAAGCTCGATGTTGAATTCGGAGACGAACGATATGGTTGCGATCAAGAAGATAGCCAACGCTTTCGATAATTACATGGATGCTAAGCGAACCCTTCGGGAGATTAAGCTTCTTCGCCATTTGGATCACGAAAATGTCAGTTTTTTTTAATAGTTTGTGAAATGAGAAACTTTTACTGTCCATTAACTGAAATTTTCTGTTGATTCTGTATGCATAAGAACTTCGAATTGCGGTTTCTTTTCTCTTATTTTATGGGTTTTGTTGCTATTAACTTTATCTCTCATCTCATGGCAGTTGCTTGTAGTTTTCTACTCAGTTAGACGGAACCAAATTAGAATAATTTAGAGCACATTCTTCCAAGATTTACTATTCAATAACTTAATAATCCTACTGGTTAATAATTTTTGGAACAACCAATCTCATTGGATAGATAATAAGTATTAATTCTAACATTTAATAATTCATAAGATTGTGAAAAAAAAAAAAACANATTAGAGGCGGCTGGAATATTTAACTCGTATTCTCCTCCAAACACGCCATGCCGCTTCTTCGCATGTCTTTCCTTTCTCTGACTCGGCAGCTACGCCCATCACTCTGTCTCTTATGAAGTCTCCTATAAACTCTCCTTCAACCTCTTCCTCTTTCCCTCAAACCCATCTCACAGAAGTCACTCAAAGACTAGTTCTAGAGAGAGAGAGTTCTTACCTAGTGAGGGTCGTTGTTCTGTTTGATACGTACCCAGTAGTCTGCTTTCTCAGCGTGTAGAAACAGTTGAGAGAGAGAGAGATCTTATATAGTTTGGGTGATTGTTCTGTTTGATACCCAATAATCGGGTGTGCTTTCTCAGAGTATAGAAACAGTTCATAATTAAGTTTATAGAGGTGATGGCTGACGTCAGGAGTGCCGGCGGTCAGTTCCCGGATTTTCCGGTGGTTCCGACACACGGAGGTCAGTTCATTCAGTACGACATTTTCGGGAACTATTTCGAGATCACGACCAAGTATCGGCCTCCGATCATGCCTATTGGTCGCGGTGCTTATGGAATCGTCTGGTATGTGGTGTTTTGTTGCTTTAATTTCAAATAATTTGATAGGGTTTAGACTCTTTTTGTATTGATTGAATCGTCTTTTTTCATATGAAGCTCGATGTTGAATTCGGAGACGAACGATATGGTTGCGATCAAGAAGATAGCCAACGCTTTCGATAATTACATGGATGCTAAGCGAACCCTTCGGGAGATTAAGCTTCTTCGCCATTTGGATCACGAAAATGTCAGTTTTTTTTAATAGTTTGTGAAATGAGAAACTTTTACTGTCCATTAACTGAAATTTTCTGTTGATTCTGTATGCATAAGAACTTCGAATTGCGGTTTCTTTTCTCTTATTTTATGGGTTTTGTTGCTATTAACTTTATCTCTCATCTCATGGCAGTTGCTTGTAGTTTTCTACTCAGTTAGACGGAACCAAATTAGAATAATTTAGAGCACATTCTTCCAAGATTTACTATTCAATAACTTAATAATCCTACTGGTTAATAATTTTTGGAACAACCAATCTCATTGGATAGATAATAAGTATTAATTCTAACATTTAATAATTCATAAGATTGTGAAAAAAAAAAAAACAGTTTTGTACCGTCAATTGTAAGATACATATAAGTCTACATGTCCACATATGAAGTTTATCACAGTCATTAATTGTGAATAGGTTGTGACCTTTCCCAATATGTACATATCATTCCCATTGTGGTAAGTGTCATATGCTTGTAAGTAATTTATTACAAAGGTCTTGAGGTTGCCCTTTTCTCGGCTAGCATGTTTTGTTTATTTGGGTATGTAAACAGAGGTTTTTGCAGATGAATACCCTTTTCTGTCAGCTAGAAATGATATTTATTTACATGTCATCATGATAAGTCATTTTTTATTTCTTTAAGACCATGCACATATTCACTATTCCAAGCTTCAAATGCATACTAGTTCCCTTTATTTCGAAGCCCTTAGGAAGCTTGGAAATAGACTTGTTAATCTTTTATCATGAATTTTTGAAGCAATTGTGAACTGACTTATAAAAGCAAGAGATATATTTCTGTATCTAATCAGACTGAGAAGTCGCGCCACAAAAAAAGTTGTAGTAAATGCGAGTAGATATTTTATTTGATACAACATCCTTCCGAGTTCAAGCTTCTCATTTTTTGAATTTGGATTCAGGTCATAGGTATAAGAGATGTGATTCCTCCACCTCTACGGAGGGAATTTTCTGATGTCTACATTGCCACTGAACTCATGGATACAGATCTTCATCAAATCATTCGGTCTAATCAAAGTTTATCAGAAGACCACTGTCAGGTAATACTTCTCTTTTGAGTCCATGGATTCTATAGTTACTCAAGTGGTGAAAATTATGAGTTAGGACTAACATGTCTTCCACATGTTTACCTGCAGTACTTCTTGTATCAGATTCTTCGAGGTCTGAAGTATATACATTCTGCAAATGTTATTCATAGAGATTTGAAGCCGAGCAACCTCTTGCTGAATGGGAATTGTGATCTGAAGATTTGTGATTTTGGTCTTGCAAGGTTAAATTCAGAGAACGAGTTCATGACAGAATATGTTGTGACCAGATGGTACAGGGCACCTGAGCTATTGTTAAACTCTTCAGACTACACTGCAGCAATAGATGTGTGGTCTGTGGGTTGCATCTTCATGGAGCTCATGAACAGAAAGCCTTTATTTGCGGGTAAAGATCATGTACATCAGATGCGCCTATTGACAGAGGTAAGAGAAAGCTCAAGTGTATTTGTAATTAAGCACAAGGTCTAACCTCAGAGGAAAAATTGTGACTGCAAGTCAGTGTTTAGTCCCAATAATTTAGCATATATCATTTATGTTAGGCAAGCGACACTCAATGTGGTTTTTTTTACTATCGTTAGGCTTCATTATTTTCATGGTTTGCTTCCATTCGATTTTAGGTTACTCAATAAGTAAAGCTGTACCAGTACTATCATTTTGATAGTTTATGATATCCTTTTGACTCAACATGACCGAGAATTTTGTTATGAAATTATCCATTTCATTCTTTAATGTTAAAGTATGTTTGTACTCTTCTCAGCTTCTGGGCACACCCAATGACTCTGATCTTGGGTTCGTTCGGAATGAGGATGCAAGAAAATATATCCGGCAATTGGCTCGACATCCTCGTCAGCAGTTGGCAAACGTTTTCCCACATGTCCATCCATTAGCTATCGATCTTGTTGATAAGATGCTGACACTCGATCCCACTAAAAGAATTACAGGTAATTTTCTTATCCTGTGATAGCTAGTCTGATGATACTGTGGGGGTGGTTGTAATTAATTAGACATTCGCGATGTGATGTTGATTCTGAGAACCCTTTCAGTAGGCTCCATAATCTATTGTCTTTGTCGTAATGATTGAAACACTAAGCTTTTGCCACTAGAGTCTTTCCCCACCACTTCAATCCAAGTGAGCATTGAACACTTCGTCCACAAAAGAGATTGTGTTAAAAGCTTCTGAGATTAACTGAGTAAATAATTAGTTTATACAGTAGTAAGTGCTTCTCGGTCTTTGATTGAGGGTTAAGTTTGGAACACTGAAATGATGATGTCATGTTAATCGCCCTCGCCTGATAACTATTAGGGTGCAAGTGACCTTATGGATGTCAATGCTCTGATGTAAGTGAGGATCAATCCTCTTGGCTGCAGCACTTTAGAAAAAGTAAACGGCATATGTAGATGTGGATTCATGGTTACAGACACAGATGCCACTGAGTTGCCATTTGTTCTTTGGTCTAATGAAACTAAAGTTAGTTTCTGCAGCTGGTGTTCAACCAGTGTCTGGATGAACTCTAATTTGGGCAATCATTCGAAAAGTTAAGAGGCTTCTTACAATGAAAATCTGTGTTTGAATTACTTTGGTGACAAGACTACTTAGCATCCCAAACATGCTCCTATTACGGATTATTTTAAGATGAAGATAGAAATTAAGTTCTATACAATTTGGGCTTGGGTTACATTACAACATTAACTCAAAATCTATAGTGCTGTCATATGTGAAGGAGAATTTCTGTTCGAACAACTAAGTCTTATGCTTGACTTGCCTTATAGTGAAGATACCGTGATTCATGTGCTACGTTTACTTTTTTATTGGTTCCTCTTGTTTTCTTGCATCTAAAAGCAAAATTTATTTGTTGGTGCAGTTGAAGAAGCACTGGCCCATCCCTACCTTGCAAGATTACATGACATAGCTGATGAACCAGTCTGCCCAGAGCCATTTGCATTTGATTTTGAGCAACAGGCCTTGGGAGAAGAGCAGATCAAGGATATGATTTACCAGGAGGCTTTAGCATTTAATCCAGAATATGCATAATAAGGAAGACAGCATCTACGCAAGTTCTTCTTTGGAATTGATAATCTCTTAGTTGGGTCTCTGGTTGTTGAGAAATTTACCACTAATATGAATGAAATATTGCGACAAGTATAGCAGACACGTGCTAAGCAGTCAGTATTTTGAGTTGCGGATCAAACAATTGAGATCATTCTGTATGGTTGACTTTGATCTGGCAACATGTATCTGGCGTATCTGCAGATTGATCACCTTGGTTGTCCATCAGTTGGACTAGGCCTCCTATACAATACTTTAGAAGGTCTGCCCCCTTGCAAGTTATTTGAAAGTCATGCATCCTTTGTAAATCAGAAAGAATAAATTTTCAATTTCTTATCTGTTATATTCGTTTTTCAGCTTTGGTGTGTTGTGTTTTAGATTATGTTGAGTGTAGCCATGATCTGTAACTTCTATTGTGACGATATTATATGGAATCTCCAGTTGTTTTGTTCTTCAATTTGGACATGTTTATATTTTTGATGAAATATGTAAATTAAACATGGAGAGATTTGTAAAGACAAATAACAGAAATTACCATTACATTGATTTGTGAAACCAGTCGTCTCCTGCAACCTTGATTTTTACAGGTCCCCGTTGGCGATGACATTAAATAACATCTTCCTGGTACAATCTGCATAAAAGTGGGACTTTTAAGGCTTGTATTCAGTAGTTATAAGTATTGTGTAGTAGTTGGGGTGAGGATTTTCTGCTATTAGAAAACAAACAGTAGAAGTGCTGTTTAATTAAAACCGTGTCGTTTTGACACCGTTTTCATGAGTAGTAAATTGCATAAGTTGTTTTAATCAACAGTTACCTTTTGTTGCAATTTAGCATTATCCCTTCTCTCTCCTCAGGAGTTGCATTATCTTTTGCTTATTTGTGGATTATGGGCAATCAACTTGGTGTAATCATATGATATAGCAAGGAAGAACCAACACGACTGTAAATTTTGTATCATGCCTTGGGGACCCCTTGACAACGGTAGTGAAATTTTCACCCCCCCTGCCTTTTTCATAAGATCCTGAGGCTTTAATAACGCAATACCACCCCCACTTTTGGCTCACTTGTTCAGAAACATCAGAGCCATTACCATAAACACAAGCACCTGATCCAACATGCAAGACTTGATTGGGATTGTTGTGCTGGTAAGGAGCCAATTACAAAATTGTTTTCATACATAGATGCCCTCTTACAGTTACTGATACACTCTGGTGATCAGTCCAATGTGCTAGACTCTGTGTTGGAAGAGATTTAATTAGTTTAGTTAAACAAAAATGGGTAAAAGGGAAGTCGATACAATTCTTTAGACTTAATTGAGTAAAAATACAATATTAAATCTTATTTTGGTTAAAGTGTATATTTTCCAAAAATAACAAGAATGTCATTCAATAAAAAGGGAAAGAGATGAAACTATTTGTTTCTCACCCATCTATTCTGACAACAGTTAAGTAGGCCTCAGCAATAGGCCGGGCCGGCCCAACCCGACATTTTTCAGCCCATTATCCCGCTTGTGGGCGGGGCTTTTGCGCTTTGACTAGTCAACAGGTGAGGCACATGGTCACCTGTGGGCCAGCCTATTGGGCCAAAACACACTAAATACGGGCCGGGCCTTATGGCCTATCCATTGGGCCTAAAACCGATTGTTTACTAAAAAATTATTTTATATGTAAAAGAATACAAAAAGGCATCGAAAAATTTATATTTTATATAAAAAACATAAAAAGACATCAATTACTTAAGTTGGTATGAAAAAATAAATTAACAAAAAAATTATTCATATTGATTGAATTTAACAAATATTTATATAGAGTTACAATGTTACATTACAAATTGATTGGTGGGTAAGACTATTTTGTATAACTACAAATTGAGTACATCTTGATTAGGTTGACACCTACATAATTGTTAATCATTTGCAAGTCTCAACCTATAAAAATTATAGATCAAATATCATATAAATAATATAATTAAGAAATATAATCTAATTATCTTACTGAGCTAACGAGCGGGCTAACGGGCTTCTTAACGGGACCTTGACCCTAAAAACCAAAGCCAAGGCCTTACCCGTCAGCTACCCAAGTCCTGCCACGTGTACGAGGTCGAGTTGCCTGTTAGCTCATTGGACTTCCGAGGCTTTGGGCTTTTTAGTAAGGCCTACAATTAACTAATGTGAGGTAATTAAGGGGCAGTAATTATCCACGACCCTTCTTCTTAGGCAATAGGATTACCTATCATAAGGATTAGAGTAGAATGTCACAAATTAGAGAAGATTAACACTGATTTTTGCCCAAAAAAAAAAAACTAAGAAGAAGAAAATGAGTGAAAATCTGGAGGTTTGTTGTCTAGTAACTGTTCATCGTTGCCAGCCAATTTATCACCGAAACTTGCAGGTAGCCTTCGACTTTCGTTTTTGTATTTTATTATTATTTAGTTCTCGTTTTTTTTTTAAACTCTGTAATTTGTGTCAAAAAAACAAAAAAAAAATTATAAAACCCTAGTTTTAGAGATGAAAATAAGAAATTCTAATTCTTTAATATTGGATGAGTAATTATAAAGGTGAAATTATTTGCAAATGCAAATTGTAAACACTTTTAAAAATATATTTTTTTGATCTAACAGTGTTGAGTAACTATTTTGATATTCAAAGTATTCCATTCTTATTTATGTTTGTGGTATTTCTTGTGGAGGTCACCTTCACGTTTTATATATGAATTTTATTATTAATTAGATTTCATTTTTTTTTTCAAAACTCTGAAATTGTTGTTCGTAAAATCAAAAACATAATTATAAAACCCTAATTTCATAAATGAAATTAACAAAATCAAAGTCTTTTATATTGAATGAGTAATTCAAAAGTTGAAATTTTTTGAATACAAATTGTAAATAGTTTCAAAAAAATTTTGTTTGATATAACAATGTTGAGTAACTATTTTGACATTTAAAGTATTTCATTCTTATATTTGTTATTAATAACTGTTTTGAAATTACAATCGGCATTTAAATCACACAAATGTAAGTGTTAGTGTATTTAATTTTTTTTTTGTTTGGTAAAATCCCAACCCATTTTTTGTTAAAAGAAAATAATAGGAGGTAAATTCTTACATCATTAATGCAAGTATGTAAAAATTGAAATTATTTATATTTTATTATTAACTCGATCATGTTATAACTCTATTGAGTATCTATTAAGTTGAATTGTATGTTGAATGTATGAAACTTAATTACGCCTTACAATGATACATAATAATACTTGTGTACATAATATAATTACTGTGTACAACTGAGTTACATCCAAAAGGTATAACGTTTTTTAAAATATAGCTCAAACCTATTATAAACAATTAAACAGTTACCGATGTATAGATTAATGGTTAAGTTAATATAGACACATCATTGTGTGGCTTTAAGTTTCAACTATTCATTTCTTGATCTTCCCTAAAATCTCTTCCCCATCTAATGCTTTTTGGTACTATATCAAAATTAATGACTAATTCGGGACTCAAGCAATTTAAATTATAATAAATATGGATCAATTTGAAAAGCTTGATATAGATCCATATTTATTATAATTGATTCGACTTATTGAAATGTACTTTAATTTTAGGAAAATATTGTGTAACCCAAATTTTCATTTTAAAGTGAAAGTGGGGAACCATTAGATAGAGATACTTAGCCAATCAACTACACAACACCCAACTCTAACATATATATATATATATATATATTAGAAAATCTAATTCAAAATCAATTGAGATGAAAAAAAGGATCCCTCAAATATATAACCCACTCTTGAGTACACTTGGTTTTTTAACTTGGGTAGCTCTCTTGACAATCAAAAGTTTTCGAGACCGAATTTACTGACTTAATTTGTTGACCTAATTCACTATGACCTTTGAATTGACTGTGGAGCTTATCAAATATTGAAACTTGGTGTTGATACAATAATTCTATTAAAGCCACATCATTATATAAATAAATTAAATCAGATTTTTAAGTTCAAATAATATTACTCTAAGTTCCATGGTCTTTTGTCACATTGTATATTAATTATGAGCTCTTATGGCTAAGTCGTATCACTTGTCACCCTCACTTTTCTTTGGTTTCCTTCGCACAAATTTCTTTAAAATGTATTCTTATGGATCAATCAATCAAAATATAGAATTCTTAAGAGCAAAGGGGACCTCTCCTACCACAGAGTCAAATATCATTGAACCTACACAAACTGAGTGATGGTAATTTACCCCTCTTACCTGTTAAAGAGAACCAAACTTTTGTTTAAACAAACCTAGTAGAACACAAAGCTTGTGGCACATACAGAGCTATGCACCAACAAATAATTGGGTTAGACTAGTCAAAATTATACCTAAAATTAATGTAAAAACAGGGTGAAGTTTTAATAAAATATAATTATTTCATATAGATCATAATATATTAGTCTTTGTCCTTAATTTTTTAATATCAATCTGAATGTTTTTGATACGAGCAATGTTATTGGAATCTAATTTACTAACCTAATTTGCTAATCTAATTCATTATGACATTTGGATTGACTGTGAAGTCTATCAAACATTAGAATTTGTTGTTGATCCAATTGTTCTATTGAAGCCGCATCATTATGTCAACAAATTAGATTAAATTTTTAAGCCCAAATAATATTAATTTTTTTATATTACTTAACATAAAAGAATTGTAATTTAAATAAAATAAAATTGTACCCAATATATGCTTATGGCTTTCGAGGCCATAGTCTTGTCCGAATATATGCTTATGACTGACTTTCTAGGCCATAGTCTCGTCCGAATTTATGCTTGACTTTCGTTGGCCGTAGTCTTGTCCAAAAATAATATTATTCACACAAATGCTGTTCTTGTTACCCTAGATTTCATAACCCAAAGCCCGAGGGTATTTCTCCTATGGACTCTAAACAATTTTATCAATCCGACAAAGAAATTTATGATAAAACTCAAAAACATGGCACAAGGGTACACTTGGAACTTCATAAAAGATACAACTGCAAAATCTTGAGAGTTTTAACGTAGAAAAAATTAGAAGTTTAACCACAAATAACCCAGCATAAGTTTTTCTTCATAAGTTCACAGAAATTTATTTTATTTACACTTTGATTGTAGAGATGCCATGAGGGAGATTATGCTATATTAGATCTTTGTCATCTCATATATACTCTACTCTCTAGGTCACGGCTTTGGTATTACACATAATAATTATGTGATAAATGCAACCATGTCATATTTGATTGCATAAGTGTTTTTGTACGAGAGTTCTATTGTTATGGCAAACTTAGCATAATCACTTCGGTAGTGAAAAGCATTTGGGTAAAGGTTTTTTGAAAAAAAATCAGTGAGTTACACTTTTCACGTGACAGTGTTAAGTTATAAGCACACTGTTAGAGTATGATTAATGTCTTTAGTTGCTAGATGGGAGATGCCTCAACTCAGCGTCCCCGGTGGAGTTCCCGAATACATGTCCTCTTTTTCTTCTAAGG